AGGTAGAATCTATTCAGAACCCTTGGTTGGATAACCAAGGCAATGAGTTCTGGGCAGGGAGGCATATTGCCCTCCCCTAATGGAACCAAACAGGATGCCTGAAGGTTAAAAATCCTGCCTCCTGAAGCAGCCCCAGGAGGAGTCACCTGTTCAGTTTATCCACGGATAGAAAGGCCCTACATGGCTCTGAAAAAGCCGCAGAGGCATGGTCTTCTGGGGAGCTCGACAATCGTAGGACTGACCTGCAGTATTTGTTGCCGTAGGTTTGCATGATTGCTTTGCCAGTGCGCCCAGCACATGGGAAGGGAGGGAACAAGAGTGAGGCTTGGGCAGGGGAGCTGGCCTAAGCCCACGATTGCAGTGCCAGGCAGCAGGTTGGCCCCAGGGGGTGGAGGTGAGTCACACACCCTGCAAGAGGAAGCTGCATTGGCTAAATTTAAACCCCTTGCCTGATACATTTGTGAACTTGCTTTGTATGTTCCTGGGAGAACACACTAAAGAGAGAAAATGACAGAGATACAAATAGGATTTTACTGAGCCTAGAGTGCAATTATTAATCCTGTGATTTCCAGCTAGAGTTGCTCATGTGGATGAGCAGGAGAAACTTGGCAGAAAGGATCACATACAAAATACTTGGAGCAGAATAAACTCCACGGTCGATGCAAAGCAAGCGTGCAGTCCTCTGACCACTCAGAAAAGGGTTTCCTTGAGGTGTCCTTAGTGATGTCAATCCCAAGCACCACTAAAGGGCTACCTGATACATTTAGCACATTTGTGTCTTCCTGGAGCCAGACAGGCATCAAAGAGATCCTTTACTTGAATACAATGTAGAGAAGTCCGAATTCTATTCTCAAAGTTTGTTTTCAAAGTGACATTTTGAAGTCTTTCGCATGATAGAAAATGTTAGGCACAAATTAACATTTCTAACAAAAGAGCTGTCAATCAAGTGAGAAAAGCTCTATACTAGCTATGAGGGGATTGAGTCTATGCCACAAAACTCCTAAAAATGGCTGCTAGGAAGATCCAACACCAGGCTTAATATACAGGATCGTTCTGGGGCTTCTGCAGCTGCCCAGGGACACCTTGTGAGGAAGGGTTTCCATTGGCCTGTCTTCTGGAGCTGGATTCTTTGATTATGGCTGCTGAGGTCAGAGAAATCGAAGGTTTACTAGCTAGGCATGGTGGTGAATACCTGCAGTCCTACCTAGCACTCGGGAGACTGAGGCAGTGGAGTTCAAGAACAACCTGCATTAGCATGTTTTGGGCTGTCTAGTTTACATAGCAAGACCCTGTCTAACAAAAACACTTGACCCACCCACGGAGACAGTGGGGCTGATCTATTGTGAGCTCACCAAGGCCAGCTGGATTGCGACTGAAAAAGCATGGGATAAAACCGGACTCTCTGAATATGGCGGACAATGAGGGCTGCTGAGAAGCCAAGGACAATGCCACTGGGTTTTGATCCTACTTCATGTTCTGGCTTTGTGGGAGCCTAGCCAGTTTGGATGTCCACCTTCCTA